TACCAACCAGCATGGTACTCAGAAGCACTAATGTCTTTAATATAGAGACTCATTAGGTATTCTACACGATATTCCCCCGGCGGACAGAGCGATGGGTTTTACTTTTAAATTATCGAATAACATATAAAATACAAAGGCCTTTATGAATTGTTATATTGGAATACTTTATCAACCATAATACAATGGATCCTCAAACAATGGTTGTCTAAAACAATAATAAAACATCCTATACATTGTTCCGTTATATTCAAATTTAAAACAAAAGTCAGGTTGCTATATGACAATACAAGAGAGGATCATAATCAGGCAAGATCCACACTTCCTAGGCAAGGGTAGCAAGCATTAGCAAAACTCCTTAATAATAAACAATATTATCACACTTCAGAATTATGGACTATTGTTTCATTGGTAAATTTTTGTGTGGTAGATTTGGAACTACGAATACAGTATTTCATCTGAACGAATTTATAATCTTAGACTATTTTCAGGGAGTAGACTGTGTGAAAACGACCCTTTAAGCTGATCGATTGTAGAAATTGAGCCTTTGTATGTGTTCATTAATACTTCGTTCCGTTTTATTTTCGTTCATTTTTTAAAGATACATTTCCACGAAAGTATTAATAGGGTAGTTATTTCCAGTAAAAGTATGGCAAATTTTGTATGTATGGAAAATAGAGACATACAATCTTACTAGAAAAACACGGGACAAACATTTAAGGGTATCACTAACGGCCAACTTGTCTCTTGTTGTTTGCTTGAATGACGTAGGGAGCGCTTAGTTTTGCTAGAGGTTTTGAGAACAATGAAAGATTTAAACGCCTTGCAGACTTTGCAATTAAACGGCGGAAAAGGAAGTTGGCAGAGGTTAATCTAAAAATTTCATAGGCTTTGATATTTATGGTAAATGGGCAGTTAGTAACGATTAATTGGGCACGCTTATTATAATGGACAATAAGAGGTTAAATATTTTACTCATGAATATAAGTCCCTCTTAAACAAGCAGTGATAACTGTTGGACGTATATGATGGTCTGTGATTGAAATTTTATATGTTTTGATGGATACTAAAGTTAGAAGTGTCGGATAAACAGAGGCGTGTTTTATCAGAAGAGCCTTTACAGATGGTATTTTGAAGTATTAAAGAAATTATTTTTAAAGCTTACAAAATTTCCTTTCACTTTTTTTATATCTAAAAATAATCCCACAGCTTTCCTTAATAGACGTTAATTATACTGTTTCTCTCTCTCTCTCTACTTCAATATTAAGTTTCACTTTAATCTTAATGATACACGCTGTTCAAAATATCTCACCGTCTTGGGAGGTACTGTGTTCTAATTCCTGGAGATTCTTATAAATATTTCCACAAAATATGTTATAACACCGATCGCAAATTAAATCTAAACTCCATTTTTTCGTAGGAGCCACGGAAATGCGCAGGCTTATTAACAAGAAATTTACTGAGTTCACCTATAAAGTTCCCCAGGATTTTCTAGCGTGGTTTCCCTTGTCAGTGTTCAAGTGAGGTTGCTGGCAAGGAAAGAGGTACAGCAGTTCGGATGGTAAAAAAAAAACGAAGTCCCGTGTAAACGTTGGCGTGCACGTCAAAAAACTCTCGACATATTTGGAATTCAGTTGCTGTCCGGGCTAAATCCCCGCCCCTAATAGCACACTATGGCGTATGCCCGTCTTCATTATCCAGGTTGGTGCAGAAAAGTAGGACGGTCAAATTCATTTCATTTAATTTTTCGTGGTTACGGTTCCTTTTGACGTTTTCTCTTTTGTACATGTAATATACTCTTCAAAAAAGTAGGGGATATTCAGAAACAATACAAAACTGCGGAAATGCACTGCTGTTTTTATTAGAGGTAACCAGTGTATGTTAATAACAGGCCCATTGCCTACACATGAACATAAACAGTTCATATGGGCGGCTTATCTGACGGCCCCATCTACTCGCAAAGAGATACACTGTCAAAAGTGAAAATGGACGTTTTTGATTTTTGTCATATCACAACCTGCATATGTATTTGCATTTCAATATCCCCTACTTTTTTTGAAATTATATAATAATAACCAATCTGTTAATATAATCATTTGCATAAATGTAGTGCTGTCAGTCAACGAATAAACCCCACATAAATCAGCATTTAAAAGGGGCGTGTTGCATGTTTTAAACATTAGGGACAGTAACTACGATATTTGATGGGAGAATCTAAAATTCCAACAGTTTCTCTTTAAGGCTATCGTATAATCCCGACAAATTTGAAAAAAATATATCAAAAATTGTGTTTGATAAGAGTAACGAAATCAAATTCCCTGTTGAGAGACATAAATATAGAAGCCTATAAATACCATTCGTAATTTCTACTTTTCGCCCTTTCAAAACACGAAAGTCGAAAAGTCGAAAAGTACAAGTTACGACAAAATGTGAGGCGACAGCACGCTATACAAGCCAAAATCGACCTAAAAAATAGGAAATTAAGAAATAATACACCGCGATAATAGCGCCCCTCGTTTTTCCTAATTTCTTATTTTCGACTTTCATTTTGAATGGTAGTTATAGGCTTCTATACATAAATGTATTTATAGATACGCTTCTTCATCTTTTGTGAATGTGTTTTTATATTTATTTTAATTGGGATAAAAAAGCGTATTTATTGTATTTCCCATAGATTTGGGGTTGCTTGTATTTTTTGGAACGTGATGTTTGGTGGAGAGAAAACGAAATAAGACAAGAACTTGTAAAACCTGAATATAGGAATGTTTTCTTACTGACACTGTATATGACGGTTACCAGGTGTAGGTAATACAAGTTATATAACCCATGTTTAAATAACAGTAAATAAATATACACAAACACGTGCTACACATATCTAATCATATCAAACGCTACTCTTTTTTTTAAGAACAGAAAATAAATTTTTAGGTTTTGATTCTATATCAAAGAATAACATGTGGCTGTAATTAACAAACGTGTGAGTAAAATCATGGCTTTAAGAATATAAATAAAAAACAACACATGTAAACTTGATTACGTGACATCTTCTGGGAGATCAAATCGCCCACCGGAAAAAAACCACATAGAAAATCCTTTCACTGGCACTGCCTACAATATCTATTACAATATGTCATATTTTAAGAAGCTACATATTAGATGGCGTGGTATTATTCTTATAGAATGAAACTGAATTATGTATTTTTATTGTGAATAAATATTTACTAGAACATAAGGGTGCTGGTTCGCAAATCTGGAAGTCCGTGTTCGATCACTTTGTACAACGTAATAGTCGTTCGGATGGAACAAAAAACCGGGGTTCGGTGAACACAGTGGCGTGCACGTAAAGTAATCCTTGAGTAGGCCGTAGCACAGCTGCCCGGGCAAAATGTCCCTCATAGCACACTGCCATCTTCATTAGACCAGTCTGTGCAGAAAGAGTAGGGCGTTAAACCCACAGGCACTTGAAGGGATTAAAATAAAATGTCTTTATAACGCTGTAAAATGACAAATTTAATTAAATTGGAAGCTGTATAAGGATCATATGAAATCTCGTTGGGAATAAAAAGGACGGAAAGTGCTAGAAATAGTGAGTATTGTGAGATGATAGCAGGCGAAATGTCGCCAATAAGTCAAACCAAAATGGCGGGTGATAAACTTTATTAATAGTGTAATAGTCAAACAGTAGTAAGAAATTTTATTTTAATCCCTTCACGTGCCTGTGGTTAAACACCATTACATTTCATTTCGCAAAATGTTATAGGCCTAACCCTTATTTGAAGTTCGGTCCCTTCGCTGTCGGTGGTGCAGGACGGAGGGCCGAGCAATGAACAAACTAATAGTCGTTCGGATGGAATGGAAAACCGAGATCCGGTGTACACATTGGCGTGCACGTAAAATAACTCTTGATTGTTGGAATTCGAAATAAGAGTAGGCCGTAGCGCAGCTGATTGGGCAAAATGTCCCTCACAGCACATTACATGGCGTATGCTTACTTCATTATCCCACTCGGTGCAAAATAAATAGGACGTTAAACCTCACTTCATTTCATTTGGCAAAATATTATAGGCCCAGTCCTTATTTGAAGTTAGAAGTAGAAGTGAGTAATCGTGTCAGTATTTGCTAATATCCCTATATGATTCAACAATTGTCTTATAATAATGAGTTTGAACGTAAACGAGTAAATAAATCTGGAAATTGCGATGAATTCTAATGATCATCGAGAGCATAGAACATTGCTTAAATGGATCAAGTGCAATAGATGCATACTGTGTATTTTTTTCGAAATCATCTTTCAAAGATAGACTGTATAGTTTAATGAATCTTAAACAGTGCTAATACAGTTATATATCATTTATTCTTTCAAAGATAGACTGTATAGTTTAATGAACCGTAAATTCGTTTAAACAAACAGTGCTAATGCAGTTATATATCATTTATTCTTAAAGTTTATATATTGATCGATTTCTTCTTGTCAGGCTTTCTACAATATCCCTACATTTCTATATTAAGAATCACTTTGAAACCATATTAGTTCTTTTTCTTCTTATCTTTTTTTTAAACAAAGCCATTGATTAAAGGCACCACAAGCCAAGTTTGTCACGTGTATTTCAAAAGTGAAAAAATACACACTAATTTAATGTGAAGACTGTCATTAAGCACATCCGAGTATTTAAAAATTCATGATAATTGACTGGCTTGGCATAGTTATCATTACTATATTTGTCTAATAATAAGTGTAGCAGAACACTACCACATATAAATTTATTGGCCATAACGTAAGTTAGAAATGATTGATTTAAATAATGTATAAGCTTGGGCCTTTATTCTAGCATGATTATTTCACGCTCCTTCAATTTTACAAAAGCTGCATACTACGCCGTGCTAGCTATTAATAATCCATAATCGATCTATGCATGATGGTAGACGACTTAAAATTAACTTTTTTGTTCCTGAACACGTCTAATATTCAAAAGTGTCTACATGATTATTAAAGTTGTACATACCATTCTTTTTGAGACCGTTTTATATCTTTAATTATTGCTCTTACACACACTGACTATACATATAACACCTCTTTACTATCAGGCCAACACTTACATACAATATTTATCTTATACACCTACCAACAGCTATACGCGTGCATTACACGACTAGCTTTCAGATTACCCAGTCTTCAGTTGTTGGCATTGGTAACTAAAGGCGGTATGGTTTCCATACCGGATATTCGGAACGCTAAAAATATGTGGCTGATGTAGTTACTATATTAATAGTAACTAATTCTTACAAGTTTCAATGGAAACATTTATTTTAAAACTCAATTTAGTTAACTGACTTGATAATAGTGACTTGTTGATTGACAGCTCTCTTGAAAGGTCGGGGAGATGAAGTGAGCGGCATTGATATTTCGTCTGTCAGATTGAAGTGAAAGTGCACGATGTCCTAACTTTCAACAGTCTTGTTACCAACCAACATGTTCTAGGCAACCATTATCAGACGTCAAAGAAATAGATATTACAGTAACATTTATAAAATTACAATCCGATAGACAATTGATGGCAAGAGAATGGGAACAAATAGAACAGAGAAATTTTATTGAAAAGATGGCAAGCAAATTTATTATGGTAGTAAGGGGTGTAACTGTAAACCATGGATACACGACCGATGTTTTTCTATTCCAGCACACGGTTTGCACATGAGTACTGCATTCCAGTCCTAAAAGTGTATTAGAGTAACCGTGTTGGTAATCTACTCAAAAGATCCCCCCTCCTCTTCGAAAAATCACGGGGAACAAAAAAAAATCAAAAGAAGACCCCCCCCCCCCTACATAACACGTAAACAAATCAGTCCCCATACTAACCCAATACAACCCTCACAGGAAAGTCTGGTCTTGGTGATGCTGTAGACTTAACTTTTTAATTATTTTGTAGCTGCATTATATGTCATTCATGTACATGTAGATTGTACTTTTATCGCACGGTTGGATTAAGTAGAAAAGCAAAAGAGAGAGAGAGAGAGAGCTAGAGAGAGAGGGGGGGGGGTTAACGTCTACTCGACACAAACTAGGTCATTCCGGGACTAACATATGGTTTAATTTTATTTCAATAATTCGCTTGCGCGTAGGGGTCTTTTACAGTGGGCCACCCAACCCCCAAGTAGTAAAGCAAGGAATCCATGCACCGATTTGGCGCGCACGCAACAGTCCGGACAAAAATCTTCCATGTCAGTCACAACGCACATGTAGCCATTCTAAATAAATAAAAAAAACTATGTTATTCTTAAGTTAAACTCCATTCCTTTTATTTATCTTATAATTTTGTTTATGGTTAATTAACGATGTATATATATATTTGTATAATTATTTAGTGGTTTATTATTACAAACAAATGTTCACTGTTCTGATAAAGTCATTCTACAAATGAAAACTAAAGATAAATCACCTACTAATCAACTCGCAAATAATACGAACCCGTTGATTGGTAAAGACAGAAAACTATTTCAATCAATTATCTCTTCACAGTAGAAGAGAATTCCAGGAGTGCCAAAGTGGTAATCAAGCAGTGCCTAGTTACCTCGCAGCAAGATGAAATAACCAGACTCTATTGTACGTCCAACAATTCTGTTACTGCTTTGCATGATGCATTTCATAAGTTATTGAGGCTATTGCGTTAACAATTTTTTTGAATGTGGGGGGGGGGGGGGTCTCATCCTTAGTTCTATTAAATTGTTAATTAATTTCATTATTTAAAAAAACTTAAATAACCATTTCTTAAATTTACTCTATAGGTGGAAAGGAAACTAGAGTCTCCCCTTTACTCATCGGTACCTTTTTGTGGAAGAACATAAAGAAATGCAGTAAGGGCATTTGTAAATACTATCGTGTATAGGCTATATGAAGTCAACATTTTCTATTCTCGTTTTCACTGGTCAACCTCATACAGAATCTAGAGCAAAGCGTGAAAAGCGTTCAGCCCATCGAAAATGTGGGGAAACGTCGGAGCCGGGAAAATGACCAGAATTAGTAATTGCTTCCCCTAATCTCGTGATGGCGAATGTAGTGCCTCTATTTATGGCAATTCCCCCTTTCTCTCCACCCCCCCCCCCCTCTCAACGGCTTTTACATGGCAATTTTTGTGAACGTTTTCGTCTAGAATCATAGAAAAGTGTTTGAATTTCCATCTTTTGTCAGGTTTTGGTGAATATTCATGATTTTGGGGCGTAAGGAACAGGCAGTAAACAGACATATATTAGGGTGATCGTCTACTAAAATGACATCACTGCCTATAGAATCTTTTGACGGGACCTAGCAAGACATATTGGACTTTTTGTTGTTATAAAGATTAAGATCATCGGATTGTTCAAAAAAAAAAAAAAAAATTACAGGCCAAGAAATTTCTTCGATTTAACTTTGAAGTCAATGGGAATGGATTACTAGTTTGATTCCACGAGGCTGCAGTACACCATGTTAATTCTGGTCTCTTTGACCGACTCTAGCTTATCCTCAAATTCCCACTGGGTTGAGAGCTCTCTACCAAAGATGTAGCAACATGTGGCAACCTTTTGGAAAACTTGAGCCTGGCAGAAGCATATTAGTAAACAATAAACCTAACCAACCGCTTAACTAACTCTCTTATCCTCCAGTCTCAAAATGATGAATATTCACCACAATTTGGCAAAAAATGTATATCCAAGCCCTTTTCTTCGACTCTACACCTAAAAGTCAACAAAAATCTCCATGCATAAGGTAGAGCAGGATTACATTCGGGTAACCAGCTATGGAATTTATCGGTGTTCAGCAGAGGCGTAGCCGTGAAATATATATTGGGGGGGGGGGGCGCAAATGAAATTATATAAAATGTTGACAATCTGTGACGCCAGAGGCAGGATGTAGCGTGATAGGGAGAGTGTAGGAGGGTACCCTCCATTGTGGGGTGGAGTGGGGGACAACCCCATAAATTTTTTTAAAAGTTTCAGTCTTCTGTAAACACTGTTTTGGCATATTTTACGGGGTTAAACTAAAACATCACACCAACATATTGGGATATGTACAGGTTTTATACAGATAGAAACATAATTAATCCTAATAATTGTTGTAAATAAATAGGAGTTAGGGCCTACTATGTAAAAAAAATTTTTTTTTGGGGGGGGGGGGGTCAAGTATATTCAGGGGGGGGGCGGACCCCCCCCCCCCCCCCCCGCCCCCCACATGTGTGACGCCCATGGTGTTCAGTAGATATTATATCGGAAGGTAAGAAACACATTGCCAAAGAAAGGTGGGATCAAAGTTCACGGCAATGCATTCCGTCAACCAGTCGCAATACTCCTAAAATTTATCTGATTTATGTTGTTTTATTAAAGATACATTATGTAAGATTTAGATAAAGAGCCGAACACTGCTATTATAGCTCAAAAATAGATAATGTAAAAATAAACCATTGAAAATTTCATTCAAATTACTTCATTCTGAGCCAAGTTATCACTGTTCGTAGTGTGCATTGTGGTAACCAATGCACTGGTATATTCGAGACTAAACGTCGCCTGTCCATTTTTAAATTAAATTTTCAAATGGCGAACTGATCTAATCTAGTTAATATCTCGAGTATCCGATGCCATCGAAAGGTGATTATGGCCTTGTTTTGTTAATAAATGTCTAAATAATAGTTTATATAACATTTCAGTCCTAAAGAAAGACCTGCAATAGGCAGATTTATCTCTTGCATAATGTATGTTTAACGTAAGCCTTCATTATAAATTTATGATATTAAAATTTAATTTCAAATAGGCCTATAACATTTTTCAGTAAACACATTTGAGATTATTAATGTATCCTTTTACAAATCATCATAACCCCAAAAATATATGAGTAGGCCTAAATACTATGCATATGGCATGTCTAGTATTACAGGCCATTAAAATTATGTGACCCGGGCCATTGGCAATATTATCATTATTCCAAATCTATCTATATGTCGCAATAGATCTAACAACGTAGCCCTAATCAATGTTTGTTAATGTCGTGATTTTAAGTTAGGAGAGGGTGACGGCTGTCCTAAGTTAAAATTGATTTTAGTTAAAATTGTCCCTAAAATAGATTTGTGAAACGCAACTATTTTAAGTTAAGATAAAATTTTAACTCAAAATATTATTTTAGTGAATTTTAACTAAAATGCTTAAAATTGTTCTGTGAAACACATCTATCTTAAGTTAGGATGAAATTTTAGTTTAAGACGATTTTAAGTAGATTTAAGTTTTATTGAAACAGGTCCCAGGTAATTCACGTGTTCAAACCTTATTGATCCATGTTTTAAACCTAGCCTGGGGTAGCTATATGACATCTTCAGTTTTAAGTGTTAGTGAAGTAGGTAATTCTTGAACAACTTGTTATCAACAATACTCTAACAATTAGTACGTATAAACAAGGTAATTAAATAGAACATTGAATTCCAATACAACATCTAATTACTAGTAAAAAAGGACAACTTTAACAATGGCCAAATTTAAATTGGCGAATTCAGAACGTCGAATTTACCCTCCAATAGAAAATGGTGTTATGATTGAGGATATTTGTGATCAAATTTTAGATTTATTGGGGGTTAAATTATTACTGAGTTAAGCTTTGTACTAACAGCTATAGCGTTTCTGTTATATACTTTAAAACTCCAATTTTCACCTGAGAAAATAAAGGCGCGGGTCAGGTTCCTAAAAGACAAATTATTGTAACAGTATATTAAAATCACCAATGTAACCATGCCGGAAATTGTCAAACATAAATATTCATGGACACTTGACATGCTTTGAGAGTATGTTCACAGATGAAGAACTTATCGCCCCAACAGAACCACTGAGCTGCATGTGCGACACGCAATAGCGCCATACACGTGGGAGAGATTCATTGTCAAATTTAACACTTCAAGGAAGGGTTGATGAAAACTGCCGCTTGCTGGTTTATCCTATCGATGTTTGCTTTCCTATCGGTTCTTGCATAAGATTTACTGTTTAGCGTATCTTTGCTTTAGTGTGTGTTTAATTTAATCTGGAGACGCGTTCGTCGACGTCAACGTCAACCGACAACACTGCAAGAATTGGCCGTGGCACTGCAAGAGAAGAGGGTCAGATTGCCCCAAGTCGTGATTGGACGGTTGATTAGGGGCATGCCACGACGAATTGCTGAATGTCTGAGGATTGGTGGAGCAATTACTCATTATTAAGACAAAAATCAAAAACGTCCATTTTCACTGTTCACAGTGTATCTCTTTGCGAGTGAAATGGGGCCGTCAAATAAGCCGCCCATATGAACTGTTTATGTTCATGTGTAGGCAATTGGCCTGTTATTAACATACACTGATTACCTCTATTTCCGCAGTTTTGCATTGTTTCTGAATATCTCCTAGTTTTTTTTAAGAGTATATATATATATATATATATAAATAAATATGAAGCATGCACGGCCGCGTGCATAGCAACCGCCAGTACTAAATAGGATGATAGTTTGAGCTTTGGATTTCAGAAACAGAAGATACCGAGTAGCAAATGGACTCCGGTCAAAGGGTAACCAATTCAAGATTATGTTAAAAAAGAACAACATTTTAGAAAATAAATGTTTATTTTAGACTAAAATCATCTTAGTCTTTTGAGTACTGGACTATTTATTTCTCATAGATTGAAATATCACAACAATAAATCATAAATTTACGATAATTTCAATCATAGTTTTGTTATTGTAAATAGCCAAACAATGATTTATATGCGTCTAATAATTAATTAATAAAAGTTAATACGGTATAAAAATGTATGGCATCAGAATTTCTATGACACATAATATTTCGTTTTTTTTTTAAAGTTTAAAAGAAAAAAGATTTCGCACCTCTGCTTTGTAAAGGTCTGTTAATTCTATAGTTCATTGTGTGGGCTGAGAATAAATATTTCTATTTATAAAATTCATAACTTAAAAGTGTCAATTTACTGTTTAAGATTTTCCACCAGTTTTTACGGAAATATGATGTCACTTACAGTAGGAAAAATATCACACCCAGATTTACACCTAACGTGTTAAACATTTGTTAATCTTAAATATCAACATTTATACAGGTGGAAGAAAATATGAATAGATGCCATCTTAATTAACTCCACTACAAAATACTGTATATTACAAACTGGCCTATGTGTCAAATCCCACTTGAATTTGAAAATTAATTTGATTTATGAGAGAGGTCAGGGTTCATCTATTCTTGTGATTTTGAACCATCGAGAAAAATGAATATACATACAAGTATATGGTATGAAAAATAAACTGTTATAAGCGGAATATGATAACTGACTTAGAATAACACATGACAAAATTGTATGGAAAACGGGTTACTGAAAAGTTTGTTTTTATTGGCGACGTTTCGACCCCGATTCTCTTGTCTTTATCAAACCACAAAACAAGTATCCAAGAAACTTGTATCCGGTATATTTGTGTCATGGTTTACAACATTTTAATTAAATTAGATTATAATTTATTTTTGTTTAATGTTTTCGGATGTTTACATTGTACAATATAAAACCTAGAAATAAACGTAATTGACATCTAGTTTTAATCAAATAAATGTTCTAAAGTGTCCTAAAAAATAAAACATCTGTGTCAAATATCCACAAAAGTTTAGTGTTTGTTGATATATTCATAGATCCAATTTACAAACAAAAATATTATTTTTCTCCATTTATCCTTAAAACATTATATAAGCTCCGGTTTGTTTTCAGGTCCTAGATTTATATACTGTATCTTTATTTTATATTTATTGAATAAATAGTGTTAAAATAACCCATTACGATTCATTTATACTTTTATTCTTAATCATCAAGATAAAAGATATCAAGTTCGATTTCCAACCACCAAATCATTCCCCTCTTAATTTTCTGAGAATATTTTTTCCCTTATGAATGTATCACAAATTTAATATTTCAAGAATATATCTTCCATGTGACTTTATAGATAAATGTAATAAATTCCTACGTGTTATATATCTCATTATTTTCTACGAAATAGTGGTTCAATACCTTACAATAATACAGATGTGAGATTTTGTTTTAACAGTTCGCGTAATATAGAAATTTAAATTCAGTGTAAAATCAACATCATTAAGTGTGTAGTTTCTAGTATATGTTGTCAATATAAACACTATTTATTCTTCTGCTTAAACCTCGAGTAATAAACTTTAATTTGATTTAAAAAGATTTACACCACTATATCTGTTTAATTAACAAGGAGAGCGGCTCCTTTCTTTGATCACGTTTGTTAAATTAAAAACCTTGAATAAACAAAAGTACAGTACATAAAGAGCTATTAGTATAAACGTAATACCTATACATGCAAAAGTTTGTTTTATTGAACCGATTTATTTTATCGAACGTTTTGAAATTACCAAATCGATAAATACATAACTTTCATATTGTGCATTTTTTCTTTCAAACGTCGTTCCACATCAATCCCTTTATCGCCTCGTATCACTAGGTAGACTACATTCAAAATTTACATATATTTTATTGTTGCCTGACAAAATATATTCGACTGAATAAATTCTATGCTAATCACATCAGTTTAGATAATTTTCATTTTTGTTAGACATAGGCGCAATTAGCGTTTACTTCAAAAGCCAAATATAAATTATAATTTTGTGTAAAACTTAGATGAATATTTAATGATTACGAAAATGTCTCAAATACAAATATGCAACGACATAAGTCTTTTTAAATTCCTGATAAGAATTGGAATACAATTTATAAACTGGTGACATATCAAGATCTTTGTAAATTATTTTAAGTATTATAATCATGCTGTATAAATTAGAACCACAATTGTGATAGCAACCATAAAATATTAACTTTCCCATTTTCCCATTTATTCAGTTAATACTAAAATCTAAATGAAAATATTTTTAGCTCACTAATGCAGGTTCAAATTATTTAACTCAAATAAATAAATAACTGAATTATGTGTACTTTCTATATCACACTTACGGCACGTGTGTATATATTTTTATAGATAAAAACCAATATATTGTATAAACACTAATAATACAATACAATAGATATTGTATACAGTGCGAAAATTAAGTATTAGTTTTAACACTCTCTGGTAAATATATCAACTACAAAAACAAATAATATATTCATTGTTTGTATAGTAAATATACTACCTACTAACCACTTTAATATGTTTATACATCAAATTACCCTCCGATATACTAAACAAGCAAATAAATTAAAAAGAATCTTCAATTTATCTGGAGTATTTGGTACATTAGAAATCTTTTAAATTAAACTAAGTAATACTAAACTGACATTCTAAACCACCACTAGGATGGATTTTTTTTCTCTTTCAAGTTAAAACGCAAGCTACAATGGCTTTCCAAATTTCATCGAAAATAAAATCAATTATTAAATCTACTATATACTATTAAAATCAAATGTTTTAGTGGCAATTAAGATTTAATTTTTCCCTTCTTCGAGTTTTTTTTCTTTTGGACTTTTTTCTTAATAATGTGTAAATTGGAATGGGTGTTTTCAATGATTGTTTGCCCCACCACCAACACGACAAATACTCACCAGTCTCAAACACTCGACTGGTTTTCGTTTACATCATATTTATACTTTTGTAAAACTCGAATAACTTTGCCGGGCAATGAATAACCGTGAACAAAATATGTTAAACCAGTTAGTAGCTTAAAGATAATGCACAAATATGAAGTTAAAAATCTCTAACATGACAAACAAGAAATATTTTTTGTTTTTTTCTAAATCCCAATTCTAATATCGGGTAAATATTGATTGATCTACATAAATGTTATTAAAGTTGTAATAAAACAGAATACAAAAATATTTCTTACCCGTTAAACACATCTTGTAAAAACAATCCAGTAATAATTAAAATTTGACTGAGAAGGGGGAGCGGCTTAACTAAAGGGGCGTGGTCACATAACACCCCGGCAGCCAATCAGGTAGGCGAAAGTGACTTGGTCATTTATCATTAATTCCAAAAGTAAACAAAAAGACCAACGTGGTTTTGTTATGATAAAGAACATAATAGAGGATTACGAACTTGACCAATGGCCAAGAGTGTTAGTAAGACCAGCGATTAATCCTCACGACATGGGGTATATATTCTCGTAAATTCGGATCAACTTCATCGAACAGCTTTCAGCCTTGCAACTACAAACTTCAACAAGAACAAGTATTGAGATTTTAATCCATTTGACAAAAATTCAAAGCATAGAAATCTAGCTAAAGTTCGAAGAAATAAGGAGTTTATTTTAACCTAAATTGTGACCTTAGTACTCAATATGGTTATGCAGACAACACCCGTGATGGATGGAAACCTAGGAATAAGATCGTCTTGTATGATGGGTGGACAGTACAACCCTCTCAATTTTCTTCAACATCCACCATACCAGCAACCAACGACACAGAATATTTTGTCTGGAGAAAGTTTAGACGAGGCTCATGCTTTAACCTCATCAAGAACTCTTCAAAATAGTTTATCGTCACCCTCTAGTAACACCAGTGACTCAGATGCCAGAAGCAGCGACAGTCCGCTTTCAAACCAGGGAGATTCATCGAAATCACCAAATTTCTTGGGATCAGAAGAATCTGAGGAAGAAACTGAGCAGTCAATTTCTGGAACTTCAACCCTTTCACAGAGAAATCGACGATTTGCTGATGTTAAACCGCCATATTCCTACATAGCTCTGATTACCATGGCTGTTGAATCATCTCCTCATGGAATGATGACCCTCAACGAAATATATGCCTTCATCATGAACAGATTCCCTTACTTCAAGCAGAACCAACAAAGGTGGCAAAACTCAATCAGACACAACCTGTCACTGAATGACTGTTTCATTAAAGTTCCCAGAGGACCCGGGCGACCAGGAAAAGGTAATTATTGGTCTCTTCACCCATCTTGTGGTGATATGTTCGGAAATGGTAGCTTCCTCCGAAGAGCTAAACGCTTCAAGTTACCCAAAGCTAAACGTCACGAAAACGCAGCTCTACAAGCCATGAACGCCTACGCACCATTTGGATTTTACGGTAATCCATCGTTGAATCCCCTGGGATTGACATCCTTGCCACAAGGTCTTACTCAGCATCAACAATACGGCTTCCAGATGAAAGAGCCATGGAATCCAACACCAAGTTCTTCCTATTCAGCATACTATCCATCTACTAGTATGTCAAGTTCATTACAGAGTTCTTCCCTTGGCAGTAGCCTTACTTCTGCCCTTGGTAATCCTCTCGGTTCAAGCCTAGGAGGTACTCTTGGCTCCAGTTTAGGAAACACGTTGGGTTCGTCACTAGGAAATACTTTATCAGGATCTTATTTACCTATGTCTCAAGTTTCAGCCGTACCCAGCTCCGGTTCATCTTTATCCAATTATCCCGCACTTCAGCAACCCGCTTATAACTGCTCACAGTATTCGTCCCATCCGCAATTAAGATTTCAGTCTCCACAGTGTTAAAGTGTGCTTGTATGTATTGACGGTGCAGAACAGAGTTTTAAGAAAAGACAGTGTTTTAACTATTGTTTCAATGACTGTAAAACTATGCTGAGAGACTTTTAACCTGTAAATTGTTATAACTGAAATCCATTTTTTATTTATTGGTTGTTATATTTTGTATGTATATACATGTACTATTTTTGTATAGAATATAGAGTTTCTCGATTGTTAAAATATTTTGTAAAAAGAAAAATAGAGTCTCTCGGTTGTTAAAATATATTTTGTAAAAAGAAAAATTGTTAAATATTTGTATAAACTACAGTATTTGTATAAAGCAAAAACCTATGCCATTTATGTGTTAAATAAAACACGGTAAAGTTCAGTTTCTATTTTCTTTTATTTTTGATATTCGAAAAAGGGGTACAGTCTAGACTACTCATACGTTTTGAGGTGTAAGTGGGGGGGGGGGGTCCTTAGACAACATTATGATTGAAAATGTTCATTTAACCTAAAAATCTGATCACGTTTTGAATCTACAGCTCAAAGAATTGGGTATAATCAACAATCACAGAGAGACTATTCGCGTGTGGGACGATGTCCATTGAAACTGGCACAAAGTCGTTTATGTTTGTACGTATGTATTAGGGTTGGGAGGCAGAAAGATCTTAGAAATGGTGATGCAAGTCTTACAATTATGTCACTTTCGCAACGCTTATCTCGCGACGTGACAGCGCGTATCTCAACAGAGCGTAAATAACCCCATAAACATTTTAGACTTCTCCCATCGTCACATAGCCCCCAGTACGCTAGCAGATTTGTACAATATGTTAGTCATCGAATTAATCCCCAGTTAGCACCAACCCACCACCACCACCACCATCATTGTTCATGTCAAGTGTACATATTGGTTGTTAGTATGGAAGAAGATCTAGTGCAAAAAATATTGGAGCGGTGAGGACTTCGGTGGTAACGGAGCTTATTGAATCATAAAACTAAGCTGTTCTGATCACACACAGCCAAACGGTATCTGGATAATTTCCTTCCATAAATCTGTATAAAGTTTACCTCGGTGATAATTTGTCTTTACTTGGGTGCGAATGGTCTGAACCTAAGGACAATAGGTCATTTTAAAATTTCATCATATATTTTTATCGGAATAATTGCCCCCAGCTTTAATAATTTCAAAAGGCGATCAACATATTTTACCCCTCGTTTCGTTTGATAAAAATGTCTTGAAATTTATGGGTACATCCAATTTTATACTATAATGAAGCGTGTGGCCCTTCCACGATGTTTTCAACAGGAATAAGTGTAAATCCAATCAACACTTTTCTATGGTCTTTAAGACTTCTGATGGCGTCAAGATCAACGATTTGACTATTTACTCGCTTCTACGGGATTTAAATGAAATACAGATTAGAGTATATCATTTTCCACCGGCTTCTTTCATCATTAATCTCATTTTATTGCTCACACCATGCGGTTATATGTCCAGTGTCCCATATGCCGTCATGGCCGGGCGATGTTCTTTTTAATTAAGTTTTTAACTGGATTATGATATGTAAATGTACATCGTGTGACACTTTAATAAACACTTCTTCTTCTTCTTCTATATTATGTAAACTTTACAAACTAAAGCGATAATGATATTCTTTGTTAAATTTCATTTATGGAATTTATATAAATTGTGGGCGGCGATGATATAGTAAGCATAATATAACATGTAGATCTGTTCATTTTCCTTCTGTGCAACTCTGTATGTTATTAATTAATAGACATTTCATCAGATCACTGAGTTATATTCAATAACTTAATGCTTAATTATACATTATCACTCTTACCATAAAAATAAATACTATTGATTGATTCATGTCATATTTAAAAATAATCTTAAAATCTCATATAACTATCCAAAATCCTAGCACGCATTTACTTAGAGAGGGGTATTTTTAAGAAGTGACCATTCAACCATTAACAAATTTGTACGATTCGTAAATTGAAAGTTAAAACGTGTATATTTGTATATTTCAGCGACGGATTCTTAGATTTGTCACATATTTCACATAGAATATAATTTAAACATACCGGATCACATCAAATGGTAAATGAATTTGTTATCAATTTTTCTTTAAAACTACCTCGGATTAATATCCAATAATAATATACAGGAAAACTACACAGCTAAACATAGACGCAAACATAATGCATCAAAAGTTAATACATAGCTTGTAGCTACGGGCTTCTGTGACGAGACATCGTCGGTGCTCTTATGTGAGCCAAATGCTACCAAATTTTGGAGCAAACATTCGAAAAGAAAGGTATTTACTAGCGGTTAGTACTCAAACTAGAAAATGGATAGAAATGTTTATTTTATAATTATAAAATCTCACATAAAATAATATCTTTATAATAAAAAAATCCAAAAGCATCTATTTTGTGATACGGTTTGTATGTCCGATTCAACTTTTGTAGATTTCATCGCCATAATCGGATGTCATGTTATGGGGAAAATGGTAGCGTATAGCACAGCCTAATACATTAACTTTCTATGTCGGCACAGTTTTAAAACTCGATATTGGCTACATTATCTTATACACAATTTGATGTCTTCAAAATCTATCTGGCGCCATCCTGATACGATTAATGATTTTAACACCGAATTTCACGAATTATGATTGTTAGGTTATATGATCTTTGATAGAGTTAGTAGTAAATTAGGAGAACCTATCTAAGTAGATAAACCAGCTTCTGGTAGTGTACCTCGTCCGCCTTTTTTACAAGGCGGTGTCTTTGATTAGAGATTAATTAATTAGTAGATCTGTAATCCGTATTACCTTTCTATGGGGACATGTCATAGTGCACGGGGATTACGAGATAGTTGTTTTTCAGCACGTATTTGCTACATGAGAATTTCTTTAGCTGTAAGTAAAACATTCCCGCTTAATGAAAAAGTTTTATCCGACATCAAAATTTCTTACGTTGTATGTTATCTCAATGGATTAGAGTTGTACTTGAGTTAATTTAAGTCGACTAAATCCATTATATTTATAGCTTTATAAACTTATATAGACCAAATCTTTAAAAAGGGGGTTACTGACTTGACTACATGTGTAATTTAATGTATCGAAATTTATTTAAAATGTGCCGTAAGATGAAAATTTAAAAATAAGTATAAGTATAAGATATATGAGGAAAAAGAATATAATTGTAAATAATAGATATACACAGAAACAGTAGGCTATATATTGTAACATTTATAGTTTGTCTTTCATCTGTGACTTTCAAGGTTTTAATGACATGCATTTTTCCCTTTATAGGCTTGAAATCTGATATTTAAAGTATAGTTTAGGCAATAAGCAGAAGGAATATGGTATTTTATTTAAACAATCACGAAATTCACACGCACAAATAAGCAACATATATTTGAAAGAAATAACCAATGTTTAAAATAATGTATTTGAGATTTTTGTTTTGTCTTGACAATAGTAATTAACAAGATTAATATCGTAACATAAACATACCTGGTGATAAAATTAAAATATGAAGGTGTTAGTAAAAGTTAGAGTTAGTTTAACAATATCAACTTACAGAATGCTAATTTACTTGACATATATGACATATTATTGTTAAACATACATTTTTAACGATATATTGTGGGAATTCATTTGTTACGTTTTCCCAGAACATCACATCAATATGACCCCACGCATATTTCAAAAACTTTCAAGCACTTTTGTACTCTTAAATAATGTTTTTGATTTTTGTTGGGGTTTGGTTTATTTTTGTTTGGGGATGGGGGGGGGGGGAGAAAGGACATCGGTGTCGTTTCAGCTAAGCAGAGACTGTTCCTGTCACATAGAAACCGGGAGTAAAATTTCAATAGGGGCAGTTCCTCTCTTCCCACGCCGGTATTCGAACCCGAGGCATTTTATTTTTTTCTGACACTATTTATTCAATAAATATTGACATATTATAAAAGTAGTATACTATTTAATTCCTGTTTCGCAAAGTAGTAGCCTACACGTATTTATTTGAAGTAATGAGAATATAAAATAAAATGGACAATGTTCGAATTAAATTAACTTTCATTTTATGCATGTTTAGTGATTTTCATGGAGTTTACCGAGCACTCTTGTAAAATAGGTTAGGCCACATTAATATAAATATTTCTTCTTATGGAACACCTATCAAAGTTTTGCTCACTATTTCTTCAGGAAACATTTGTTTGATATCAATAAATACTTAATGGTCTTCGCAAAAGCTTTTAGTTCAATTTTTGAATTTTAAACAAAACATTGTTCAATAAACTAGGGTGGATATTTATTTATTAAGACCGCGAAGAAATAACCAAATTGATTTGACCTTAGCGCTTGAATTTTCGAAAATTATGTGAGCCTAAGGTAATTTCATATACGATGCTATTGTTATATAAGCACTTTGTTAAAACTGAATTTCATTTCAAAACCACATTATGAAAGACATGTTTAAAAACAGTCGATTTACTTACACGTTGATAACAGTTTTATGGGGTCATACTTTTACAGAGTGAATTCATTGTATTGTGTTGTTTATTACAAGATACATTTGTTATATAGTTTATAATAATACAAAATACAGACTATTAAAAAAGATGTTGTATATTTGTTGGTTTAAACTGTAATTATTTATTATTTATAATTACACAAAATACACAATATATAATAAATATAAATTATATGGATTCGGAAACAAGCTATAAAGCTTATATCAATCCGTCTCCAAATGGCATGTTTAAATTGCATAAAATGTATAATAATTTACATAAGAATAAGGATAAGTATATTAGAGACTTCTGGCAAGCGAAAATTCCTGGCCCGTATCACATATCCATATCAATTGTACGTGTGACGTCATCAATTTCTGTATAGTTCGCATACGTGACGCGGCACACGGACACGACGACAGCTCGTAGAAAACAGCTTTCATACGGAAAAGGCACCTTGTCTATGATATCACCCCCTGGTGGAAGTGGACGTTCAACT